ATTAAAAAATAATTATTACGATAAAATGTTTTTTTCCAAATCAAATTTAAAAATGAAGAAGTTAATTTGTCATCATCTTTATCATTCCAATACCTTTATTTGAAATAAACACATTTTAAAGGAACTAAATTATATGCTACTAAAGTCTCACATAATCGAATTTTAAAATTTGGAAAAAAAAAACAATTTTATTATTTATTAGTATTTATATTTAAGACATATTTGATATGTTGTATTTAAATTCTTTAAACCCTTTAATTTTTGGTTGATTTTCTAACCATAGTTTAATAAATTTTCTCACTTGGTAAATTCAATACCATTTCATTTTGAGGTGGGTACAGTGAAACTTTAGTGGTCATAATGTTTGAACACTAAAATAAAGTTAACGTTAATAAAACTAAGAGAAGTAGTAACTTTACTAGTAAAGTTACTTAGTATTAAAGTTACTTTTTTTTCCCAGGCTTAAAATAAAGCAATTTTTTGGATGACATTTTTCGTTGATCTAAGCAAAAATATATTTGAGTTTGGGAATTACAAAATTAAGTGTCCCATCTGAAAAAAATAAGTCAAAGTCCTTTTGAGCAACCTCTTCATTTTCTATAATAATTACAGCTTTTTCGTAAACTACAGTTAGGTTCAATACTTCAAAGAAAGATTCCCATATCAAGCTTTGCAAAGAAATGTGCGCACAGAACATCATGGTTCAACTCATATATTTTTAATTTATCAAAAGAACATACTCACAGTCTTGTTTTTAAATATTATAAAAGCCAAAAAAAAAATTTTTGAAGAACTTTATTAATTTTTCATTTGCAGATCTTAAAATAGGTATTTTAATAGAGTCAATAGATACAAAAATATTCAACTGCATTTCAAGGTTTGAGGTTCAAGAATGGAGACGATGAGACAAAAGAATTATGGTGATTATTTTTGAATATGCTTTTTATATTATATATATTAAATTATATATATTATATAATATTTATGATAACAAAATTTTATTATGACAAATTATGCTATATTATAAAAGTTGATATATATATTATATTTTATTAGTTATAATAGACATAAACAAAACGTTTTTTGATCTATTAATGCTCAGTCCACTCAAACAGCACCTAGTTCGTTTTTAATATCTAAATAATAATTAGATCAGATTAATAAATCATTATTTACAGTAACAAAAAAAAAGAAAGAAAAGAAAGTAATGTCAAAAAATTGTATGTAGAGCAAGCATGTAGAGCTTACACTTGCTTATAATTATGATGCCGTGATTTAGAAGAATGTGTAGGTTAGAGGAAGATTAAGTTGAGAGTACATCTCAGGTAATATGAAAAAGCTATGCATTTTTATAGATTTTTTTAAAACGAGTATAAAAGTATATCCACGAATGACCCTGATCATATTTTGTATTTTAGCAAAGAAGGAGAATTTTTGTGGAGTAAATTCATGATTTCAGCTAGCAGCTTTTTCAGAGAACTTTGAAAACATCTATCCCATTTTCCAGGATAGCACTGAAAGATTCAGATGTTGGTACATTTAAAATATAAGGTTGGGTTAAAACCTGATATATATATATATATATATATAACCAGATATATATATATATACATACATACATATATATATATATATATATATATATATATATATATATATATATATATATATATATATATATATATATATATATATATATATATATATATATATATATATATATATATATATATATATATATATATATATATATATATATATATATATATATATATATATATATATATATATATATATAATCTCAAATATATACACTGTCAATCGCAAGTTTATTACAATGTCTAAATAAAATTTAAAGCTTGACTTATTAGTAAGTTATGTTTTATTTATTTGCAATCCTTTAAGATCCTTTTCTTATAAATTGATTTTTTTAAAGTTCATGTTGTTTAGTGCTTTTTTATATACTATACAAATGTAACACTAAATAATATGAATTTTAAAAATTCAATACAAAAGAAAAAATTTATATACCATGTAAATCGTTTATATGATTTATACACCATATAAAACATAGGAAACTAATTTCCAGAATTACCTATCTTTAATAAATATCTAAATCTATTTATAACAGCATCCTTAATCTAAACTAAATAGAATTTTTTGTGAATGCACTTCTTTAAAAACATATTACACTTTAATTCCAGTAAACCAAGCATAAATATATTAAAATCTTTCATTTGAAATTATATACGTTTATAATTTTTCCTTGTGAAAAAGAAAAAATCGCACCCTTTAAGTTAGAGATAATACTAAAGTATACTAAAATACACGGTTAAAGTCCTTAGTTTAAAGTTACGAAACTTCTCCTTTTCATAAATACAGACAAAAACAATATAAAATAATGCAAATAATTTAAAAGTCTAAAAGGTATAGCTATAAGACCGTAATTTAATGAAAATTTTTTTTTAATTTCAATTTTTTTTTAATTTCAATTTTTCAATTGAAATTAAAAAAAAAAAGATTTCGAACTTAGAAATCTCCTTAAAATTCTGTTTCTTTTTAAACCCAAGTTAATATATTTCTATGGAGAATAATATACTCATAGAGAAATCAACTTCACTTAGGCGATATATGGGAACTCGCGTGTAATCGAAAAAGTCTAAGATGATCTTTTTAACAGGTTATCCTCATCTCTTTTGATTGCAATACATATAAACCAATTCCATCTATTTCTATACAGAAAACTGAAAATGGCAAACATTCTAATGCATACTGAACTGCGATTACCCCTGAAAATCAGTCAATTTTTGTACACTTTTTTAATGATTTAGCCATAAAGGTTTGTTTGCTGATTAAATGTAATGAATTTTCTATTTTTTAAAAAATATTTTGTTCAAACTAAAATTTTTATTTCATGCGTGTACAATTCGAGGGAAATCAAAAACTTAGGCATTTTTAAATTAAAAACAAAAAATAGTTAAACGCAAATATTTTCGTTTCTACATAATCACATGTGTTCAACAGAATAATGCCATTGTGTTAGCTGTATTCTATTTAAACACATTGTTGCTCCTGAGATATCAATAAAGTTAGAAGTTTTGTGTACAATAATTCCTGCTAAACCAACTATAACCTAAAAAATAGTTGTTATGAAACACTAGAAGAGTTGTTAGAGGTTTGTCAACCAAACAAAAAAGTCTTTGATTAATTAATTATAACTAATTTATCACTTAAGTTAAATAATATTAATTAAATTAATTAATTATATTAAATTTAGTTAATACTCATAATGGTACTGCAGTGATGCAAAAATATGGACGGACCTGTAGAGAGTCAACTGTGTCACAATCACGGTATTCATCCGGCCGTAAATGATGTTTTCTTCAAAAAGTCACTTAACTGTAACAGTAAAACATGTTTGAGTAACAAGTTAAACGAAGAAGATGCCGATGAAAGTAAAAAAGCAAAAGATTTAAAATAGCTTCTTTGGACTCTTTTCTCAGTTTTATAAGCAATGATTATCTTAAGAGATTTAATCGCAGTGACATTTTTAATGATATTATTTAAAAAACTGCTCATGAAAGCAGAAACAAGACATTTTGAGATGACATCAAGTCTGTATTTAATAATTCAGGTAAACTTATCAATTTTTTCAAAATATCAAAGGTTCCTTGCTCCATATTGTAAAAGCATGTTTTCGAACACAAAAAATAATATACTGATGCTAAAACGTTACATTTAAACTCGATTGAACTCTTTGGTACCTATCAATGTTAATAAAATTTAAACCTTGCATTCAAAAACAAATAATTTAAAACAAATAGTTTTTATGAGGAAGTCAATTTTAAAGTTTTAGAAGATTTTTAAAAGTTCAAAAGTGGTCAAACCATTTGAATTGGCTTTTGAGATTCTTAGTAAGAATAACCCAACTATTCTGATCAGTAAAGGTGTTCACATATATTTAAAAAAAAATCTTTCTTTCTAGTTGGCAAAAAAAAACATACGCCCCCTCCCCTCCCCATAGAAGACCTCTTCGGGACGGCCCTGACTAAAAATATTAATCAGTAATTATACAACATGCAAAAAATTTTAAAAAGTATTTAATATTGTTATTCTCTAATCAACGGAAAAAGAAATCGCTAAAAAAACCTATAATAACCTGAAGACACAGTTACAACAATGTCTAACGAAGATGGTATCGTTCCAAACTAAAAATAGTTCTGATCTACTTTTAGAGATACTTAAGATATTTAAACTGTTTGAGGCAAGTGGAATTCAAACAGCAAATTTAAATAGGATTTATGCCATTGTCAAAACAATTCAGCTCACGTCAGCATCCAGCGAAAGAACGTTTTTTGTTGTTGGTTACTTATCAACTAAGCTTTCAGGCCGAACGAATTTTAATATATCAAACGCACTAATGTTTTTAAAAAATTGTTTTTCGGAAAATTAAATTATTGAATTAAAACTTATTTAGTTGTTACTGCTTCACTATTTTTAAAACTGAAAAGTAAAAAAAATCTGAAAGTTCTTTTAATAAAGTTTTCTAATGATATTGGCTAAACTTTTTTAAGATTTTTTATAATTACCGCGCAATACCAGTTTAAGCCGCTATTGAACTATTTCAAATACTTAGAACGCTATTATATTTTCCAATATTTTAGAAACTATATATAACCATAAGTGTTATTCACTTGTAATTCAAATGTTATTTACTTTTCTAAATTGTGCTAAGACACATTTTTATTACTTTAAGATAAAAATTAAAAAACCTATTCATCTAACAAAGAATTTTTTTAATATCAATAACTTTGTTATTCGTAAATAAAAATGATGAAGTTTTTCTTTATTCCAACTAACATAGTTAGATTCGTACTTTTTAAAAGAAAAATCATAACCTTAGAGAAACTTAATTATGGAAAAAATTGGCCAACCTCCATTAAAAAAAAACGCTCTTTAATTTGTTATATTTATTAATTTATATATTTATTTTATTATAGAATTGGGTCTCGTCATGTAACATTATGGCATTAAGTTTGACCAATATTCCAACTTACAATGGTTGCATTGATGACATTGTTAATGTCAATATCGTGGTTAAACAAAATAGCTACATAATTTATGAATATAGTAACAGTTTTAAAACAATGGATGGGATAATTAATGTTGTATTTTACCGAGGTATGAGATTATGTAAATATATATATATATATATATATATATATATATATATATATATATATATATATATATATATATATATATATATATATATATATATATATATATATATTATATATATATATATATATATATATATATATATATATATATTAAATATATTCAAAAAGTACAAAGTTGCTAAAAATATCAATGACTGAAACCTTTCTAGTTAGTATTACCCCAGACAAAACAAGTGGTGATTGAGGAAATGACTATGCAAACTTAAGGTGGCTCAAGATTACTTTTTTATAACGGACGAATACAAATCTTTAAAAAATCTTCGCTGTTTAACTTTTAATGAGTATTTATTAACAACGCTTTGGAACTTGGTCATGGTTCAAATAATTGGGGTCGCTTTTGGCTGAAAAAATTATTGATAGGATTGAAAACAACTTATCTGAGTTTAACTTATCTACAAAGAAGCATAATGTCTCCAGTTTAACTGAAGGCAAAAATATTTAGAAAATCAGGCGGGATGAAGCACCAACTTTGTTATGCACATAGACGACATTTAGCAGTTTGTAATATTCTCTAAAAGTTTATGATTTTAAGTTCATTGGGCCGTGAATGTAATGCATTCAACTGCTAGAATTCTGATGAAAATAAAAGTGAAGATGACAAAAGAAATTGATTTAACAACCTCAGTAGAACTACAGTCCAGCCAAAACAACAATTTATTTAATTTAAGAGAGTTGAGCTCACTGATGAATTATTAGACAGCATTAGTTTTGCACAAACAATTCAAAAGATCCGGAGAATAGTACAAATCTTTTGTAAGCCACCATTCAAAAATAAAGTTTTACAAAAATATATAAAATCAAATCAATCAAATCAAATATATTTTGAAATAAGTTACAACATTTCAAGGAAATTAACAATAGTACAAATACTATTATAAAGTAAATACCTCAATATACAACGTAACGTTATAGTCAATGATGAAAGTAATAATAATAACTGTTATTAATAATACTAATAGCAATAATAGCAATAATAGCAATATTCATAATAACAATAATAACAATAATAATAAAAATAATAACAATAATAACAATGATTGTGATATGAACAATAATAGCAACAACAACAACAATAATAATGATTATAACAATTATAATAATAGTAACGAAATAATAACAATTATAATAAGAGAAGAATTTCATAAGTAAAGACAATAACAGCAGCAATAAAAATTTAGTAAAGAGTGATGGCAACAACAATGATTTAGTACGAAGTAAAATAGTTGAGAAATAGATAAATTTTGAATGAAAAGAGATAAATAGATAGATAAATAAAAAATGCCAACCCATTGGTACTAAAATTAATAATATTAGTATAGATAGTTTAATAATAAAGTTTAAAAATGGCAGATAGAAAACTAGAGAAGTTAGATGTAGATAGATAAGTAGAGAATTTCAAAATGTTGAAAATATAAAATTAAAAACTGAAAGATTACGAATTGACATATATAGTAAAAAATGTCAATATTAGTTGGTAGAAATATTTAATTGTACTTTTTTAACAGATAATTAAAAAGCTTGATTTTGAATTCAAAGACTGAGTTAAGAGATTTTAGATCAGGTGGTAGTTTGTTCCATAAGCTAATACATTGATATTTATTGGATTAATTTCCATATTTAGCAGATTGGTGTTTTGGAATAACTAAGTTTAAGCTACTGATGGAGCGAAGAGGATAGTGACAATTTGTAATTGAAAAGAAATTGTTGAATGATAGGGGAAGGTTTTTGTGATGATAATTCCAAACAAATAGGCAGTTGAGGAATATCACAAGGTCGCTTATTTTTAATATTTTGGAGATTAGGAATAGTACATTAGATTTAGAGTTATTATACTGAAAATATAGGTTTTATTTTGGAGATGGGACATATTTGACATGCATATCTTAGATGGGATCCAAAAATAGTATGATATATATTTAGCAGAGTTTCTAGATTTACATAATGGCGGACTTTGGCTAGCATTCCATTAGATCTGCTGAGTTTCATTGCTAAGTCATTCAGATGACATTGAAAAGAAAAGTTAGAACAAATTTTAATCCCAAGATTTTTAATAGAGTCTAAAGGATAAATTTTTGATCCACTTAGCCTGAAATTTAATTGCTTATTAATTGGTGTCAGATTGGATTTAAAGATGATAAGCTCTGTTTTGTTAGAATTAAGAAAAAGTTTATTAGAACGAAGCCACTGAACAAGATTTCCAAGATCATGATTAATATGTTTGTTGATTTTTTTAAGTGATTTGTCAATCAGTAGCATGTTAGTATCAATAAAAATTGAATACAATATAGAACTCAAGTTAACACTGGATGTAAAGACAATGCGAAATATCTGCTTGCAATTTTGGAACGATTTATTGCTTTAAAAGCATGTGTATTAAAAGCCTTGAAGGGATTTTAAACACAACAATATTAACAAAATTTCGGAGAAGAAATATGAGTTTAAGTTTGAGTTTATATATTTCAGAAATCAAAAATATATGCATTCATTACATGTGTATATTTTAATGAGAAAATGCAACACCAGGCACTTCTATGCTGAAAGAAAAGACGCTCGTGTATCCAATAATTCTTTTATATTGAGTTTCAATTTGTCAACACTATCTTTAAACGAGTTAACTGATTCATTACTTATGGCGTTTGTAGGTAGCGCATTCCATTCATTGACGATGCGGTTAGTGAAGAAATTGAATCTTTCATCACAGTTTTTTACATTTTGAGATTCAAGTCTAAGGTAATGCCCACGCAAATGATATTTGGAAATCGATGGTGCTTAGACTTAAGGGTTCTCTTAAATATTTGGTCAATACCTTTTGAAAATTTAAATTGTTGAATAAGATCACCTCAAATTTTTTTATAAGTGTGGTTAAGTCGAGATGATGGAGTCTATCATTATATTGCAAATGCTTCATTTCCGTTTTTGTGGATTTATGCCGCAATAGCTCTAGAATAGCAATGTATTTTTCCTTGTGTGGTGACCAAGCCTGAATAGCAAATTCTTATTGAGGTCTAATTTAAGTTTTGTAGAGTACTTCCAACAAAAAGAGTCCTCAATTTCTAAATATTTTCTTTAGTCTACCAAGTTTACTGTTGGCTCAGCTGATACCTTAAGATTGTGTTACAGAATTACTCCCAGATCATGTTTGTGCTTAGTGACGTCCAGTTGATTTCTGTTTCCACTCATTTAAAGCATCGAATAATTTTGAACAGGTTTGGAGTTATCACGCCCGACGTGCATAACTTTACACTTATCGAAGTTGAGAGGCATATTTCATTTATGCGACAAGTCTACTAAGTTATCTATGTCAATTTGCAAGGTAGTCTTAACCTTGTCAGATTTTAGAACTGCGATTATATTGCAATTGTCGGCATAAATCTTTATGTGATGAGTAATATAGTCCGGAAGATCGTTTATATATAATATAAAAAGAATATAAATATATATAATATTAAAAGTGGACCGAGCACAGAGCCCTGGGGTGTAGTGGCGCAGACTGTAACTTTTAAGGCTTAGCACTTCATCAAAAATTTAATGTCATTAAGATTGTTAGACAAATTGACAGTCCAGAAGATGTATTATATGATGTTAAAAACATTACAAAAGAAATCTGTATTTTTGGTGCAACGAAAAAGCGTACAAATTGTTTAGATAAATTATATAATGATCTTTTTACTATCCCAACGACAACGATCAAGTGGGAAAGAGCTTATCGACTGTTTGTCTTTTAATTACGAAAATTTGTTCATCGTTAAGTGATGACGCTATTGACAATTTATATTTTTAAAAAATTAGTACTTATTAAGTTTGATGTTAATGAAGTTTTTATTTGCTTTGTTTTGAGAGTCATAGTTTCGGTGAGTTATTTTGTATTTAATTTCATTATCTTTTTCTTATTAAAATAATAGTATCAAAAACGCATTTTACGTGTACTGGTTTATTTAATTCGTCATTATAACGAATTTTAAAAAAAAGAAAATATTAGTTTTGAATTGCCTGCATTTCTATTATTTCCTTAATTTGGAAATCGCTCGCCTAAATCTCTAGCCCAAACAAACTTTATCCTACTGATTAAATTAACTTTATTAAAATTGATATTTGTTTTATATATATATATATATATATATATATATATATATATATATATATATATATATATATATATATATATATATATATATATATATATATATATATATATATATATATATATATATATATATATATATATATTTAATAACGTTAAGAGCATTTATGGCGCCTGGGGCAAGGCATCTAGTAGGCGCCTCTTTGACATGCATGCATTTTAAAAAGCATATACTCTTTCATAATCGTGATTACATACCCTTGAAAATATGTATTTTTAATGATGCATATAGATGGGAAAGTAGGCCGAATAATTTTTTCTATTAAGTTGTCTTTTTTGATATCATTAGTGTTAGTGTCAATTCATGAGCTTTATCTCAAAAGATTTTGGCTCCTTATTTTTTTACAAGATAAATGAGAATATTGAAAAAGCAGTGTTTGCATACTCAAATCTTGATTGAATTGTTGTATTAAAAATATCAAGGGCAACGTTGAAAATATTTACATCAAATTGTTGCTAGCGGCTCTCATAGCAGAATGCTGCATTTGCAGGGTAAAATCTCTAAAAGCCTTTATAAGGCCTTGTTTTACTTTGCAGCATCCTTTGAGGTTTAGCATCTTTTTGAATAGATTTTTGGCTTGGATAAAAGTGGGATTAAAGGCGTGCTTGTAAAGATGTAGGTCAAATAGGTTTTTGGCAAATTTTGTTCTTAAACTAGCTTTCTCTTCCTTTTGGAAATTGACGTCACTTATGATTACTGAACCGTAAAATTTTTTGTTGACCATGGCCGTTTCCGAATGGGAGGTTTTTCCTATTTCATCATAGAAAAAAGCGTTGTTGGTAGGTTGAAGATAGAT